TCATGACCAGAGGTGAGAGTAGGAACGAAGACTGACCGGTAAATCGAGAGCTTCGCCTTTCGGCTCAGCTCCTCTTCACCACAACGACCGATACAGCGACCGCATCACTGCAGACGCTGCACCTGTCCACCTGTCAATCTCATGCTCCGTCCTCCCCTCACTCGTGAACAAGACCCCGAGATACTTGAACTCCTCCACTTGAGGCAGAGACTCTCCACCCACCCGGAGAGGGAGAGACGCCTTTTTCCGGTCGAGAACCATGGCCTCGGACTTGGAAGAGCTGATCTTCATCCCAGCCGCTTCACACTCGGCTGCAAACCGCCCCAGTGCTGCAGGTCCTGGCTCGATGAAGCCAACAGGACAACATCATCCACAAACAGCAGAGATGAAATCCTGTGGTCCCCAAACCGGACCCCCTCCGGCCCCTGACTGCGCCTAGAAATTCTGTCCATAAATACAATGAACAGAACCGGTGACAAAGGGCAGCCCTGGTGGAGTCCAACATGCACCGGGAACAGGTCTGACTTACTGCCGGCAATGAACACAGCTCCTGCTCCGGTCATACAGGGACCGGACCCCATACTCCCAGAGCACCCCCCACAAGTTTTTTTTTGTGTCATTCGTATTCCCTAATGCATTTTTGAGTCGTTTGGCGGTGCTGACGAGCCATTTTATTTATTTTTGGAAAATGGAAATAGCCAAAACGTAGGGAAGCGCGAGTTTTACCAGATGGCAAAATTTCAGGACTTTTCGTCATTGTTTAGTGGGTGAAAAATGGGTGAGTTGGTTAGGAGGAAAATAATAATAAGAAAGAAAGAAAGAAAGAAAGAAGGAAAGAAAGAAAGAAAGAAAGAATAATATTCTGGTACGAGAACAATGTTCCGCTTTTTTTTGGCCGACAAACTATACGTTTTCGGAAACCTCAGGCGCATTGCTACGTGATGGCGAGGGTCCCTGGTCACTACGGGCGAGTCACGTCGCGCCATTCCATTTTTCGGCCACTTGGAGTTTCGCCGTGTGAAACTAATAGGCCCTTCGCCGGCCTTCGGCGCTCGGGCCTAATAAAAATGTAAAAAAACATTATAAACTGCCTTGAGTGTTTCTCTTTTTGTTGTTCTTTTTTATAACTTTGTTTTTATTGGTTTTAAGTAACAGTCTGGAGTTACAGGTTTTTATTTAAACATGCATTTGGTATTGACCTTTTAATGTACTATGTTGTTTTACTGGTGTCATTTAAGAATTCATTCCATTTTTCCCATTGCTCATCGTATTTGTACAAAACAAAATACAAAAAAGTATTCAGAAGGATGTAAAATACATTCTGTACATCAAAGCTACTATACAGACAATTAACTGGTTAATGCTGAAAAGTCATCTCAAAATATGTCTATAAATTGCCACAAACAAAGTGCTCCAAATATACTGGTTATCATTCATTTTTAACATAAACTTATTCATTTTGCCGCTCAAAGGGCTGGAAATGAGGAGATGCTTCAGATAGAAAAATAAAACTCATGTGGATTGATTGACATTATCAAGGTAGTTGTTTTCCTTCTGGTCACCTACTGGCTACATTTATGATCAAAATCACAACGAGCGCAATACAAAACACTTCCAACACAATGATCATGATGATGTATAGAAAATGTCTCATCAAAAAGTGGTGTAATCATATTGTGTCTAAATGTGTTTGTTGACATCCAACATACACATTTTATGTTTGCTACTTTTAAACTCTTTGAGTTTTCTGACCAACTGCATGTGATGTTTATAGTTTGTTTTACCCACATTGTTGATGTATTTCAACAGGATAATAAAAATAAATAAATAAATAAATACATTTTTTGGAGGAACATGGAGTATTACATGTGAATATTACAATGAAATTGCAAGAAAACAACCAAACCGGGTTATTTTTGACTCACTTATTCATCTAAGGGTTAATGTGCAGGTTCAACATTACATAGGTATTACATAGGTAATCAACATTTCAACTTACTCAGAGGCTGAGATATTTCAGAAAAAGATTTTTAGCAGCCATTTTTTAAAAATTCAATACGACCGCCATATAGACGTCTAGGCAAATGCAAACATTGATTTTCTAACTCCATATACTATAACCTTTCCAAAAATATATAGCTTAGCAAATCCCCTAAAAATTCCCACTAAGGTTAAAAAATGAATGTATGGAACCAGACAAATACGGGCATATTGGCTTCTAAGTTTTATTTTCATCATTATATTTAGAAAAAATAATGGTATCCATCCCTCTTAGACAAATGATGATTATTACCTTTTCTATGTGAGTGATGGATAATAGTGTCACTGTGTGTATCCGTCTGCATCAGAGCAGCGTCTGGTGGTCAGCCTGAGTAATTACACTCACAAAGATTTCAGCTGAAGTTTATGAAGAACTTAAAATAAAGGAACGTAACGTATTGTGATTCATTACCCCATAGCCGAACAGCTACTATTTAACAGTTAAAATTAGGGGAACCAAACTGGTCATTTTATTCCAGATTCATGTCCAATTTTAAGCTCCAATGGACTAAAAAAAACTATTTAAACAACAACAGCTTATGTCTCTATGGTAGAAAACAAAATAAGTAATTCAAACAGAGACTCTCCAAGTAATCCAAAGTATTCAGATTACGTTACTCACTTTAAGTAATTTAATGGATTCCGTTACAAACTACATTTTGGGGTATGTAATCTGTAAGGGATTACATTTTAAAAGTCACCTTCCCAACACTGGTTGTATCAATATTGCGATTTAACACAACATTGAAATCTCCTCCACACAACAATAGACCTTCAGATTCTTGTGCTACTATATTAAATACAGTTTTAAAAAAGGTTTAATTACTCTGTGGGGGAGCATAGATAGTAACTAACGTGACGAGTTTATTTTCTAATTTACCCTTAACTAACACGTATCTGCCATCTTTGTCGGACACCTCTTTATAAGAGTCCAAATTGACTGAATTTGCTATTAAAATAGCTACTCCCCTTTTCTGACTGGGCTCGTAAGAGCTATAATACATATTTTTGTACCAGAATTTCTTCAATTTTACATGTTCTTGTGGAGGCAAATGTGTCTCCTGCAGAAAGATAACCTGAGCATTCTCTTTTTTGAGCTTAGTTAAAACCTTACTTTCTTTCTTTTAACTGATTGTTCAGCCCATAAATGTTCAATGACACCAGTTTGATATTATTAAAAGGCATGTAGTCGTCCCTCAGATTCAATCAAAATGCAGAGAGCTTCGACTGGTGCCAATATTTTTACTGATTTAAGCAACATCAAATAGCACCATAAAAACTACACGGGAAAGAAAAACAGAAAAACATGAATATTTAGCAGTCAAATCAAATATACTAACATAAATGATAAACTAAACTCAAATTCATCACATTTACTAATATATATAAAACAAACAAACAAGTACCTGGCTCCGCTTTCTGAGGGCTGCAAGTGTTAAACAAGTTCTTACGGTGATATGACATTTCCACATGTCTCAAGCATGGATCTAGCAAGTTGGAAGTGCAGCTCTTTTTTTGGAGGGGTGTGGCTGAACAGGTAAGGCTAGGGCGCCATCTGCTGGAAGGGCAGACATTTACAAGGCATGTACTTTGTGTAACTGTAAATTCTAACTCTCCAGACAACTTAAACTAGCACAGCCCTGAAAAAGTGGCCAACATACAAAACACGTCAAATAAAATGCAAAAATTAAAGAAAAAAGAGTTTGCTTCCAAGTTAAGGTGAACACTTCGCACCCAAAGTCCCCATTGGCTGAGGGGAACTACTCTCCGATGAGGGCCCCTCCCTTGAGGTGAAACACGCAACCTCTCACATCCAACAACGTTACCCAACAGCAGCGTTGTCATTCTAGCCAAGTCAGTTATTATAAGCTATACCAAAATATAGATATGAAACTTTTTCCTTTCCTTTTTTTTTATTTTAACTTCTTAGGTTCTTTTTAAAGACAATGCAGTAAAGTGTATTTACCTCTGAAGATGACTTGCAGCTAGCAGCCGAAACATGTCAACAAGGTAAATACACTTTACTGCATTGTCTTTAAAAAGAACCTAAGAAGTTAAAGTATATAAGAAGACATAATGAACATCATTGGCTTTTTTTTAATTATTTTTTTAATTATTTTTTTTAATAAACCGTTTAAAGTCAGAAACTCAGAACGATTATTCTTGTACAGGGGAAGAAGGGACCGGCTCAGGGACAACAGAGGAAGCAACAGGGACCAAATTAATTCTCGGGACTTTAGAAATCTTAACAATATCCGTATCCAAGAGATGTTCAGGGGCAACCACCGGATTCCTAACAGTCAAGTTGCGGGCAGGTGCTCTGCGCGGAGGCCTCTGCTCCAAAGGAGGAGCCACAGGAATGGACTGGTCCTGCGGCTGTGTCCAAGCCGGAGGCTCGTGTATCATCGCTGCAGTAACTGTTTGTGTGTGGGGCAACTCTCGTGGTGCTTGTGCTGACTCCAAAACCAATAAATCCTGCCGTTGTTCTGACCGTGTGAAATCTCTGAGCAAAGTTTCTGCCTGATCTATCACTTCTCAAGAAATGTTGGGAACATTTTTTCTGGCCCATCTCGTTGCAATGTGGAAAGCGTGCGACCAATCCTGCGGGGGATTCTGCGTCAGTTCAGCAACTATTTGGTCAACTTGTAACTGACAATGTTCTTGGAGTATTTGCAGAGTAGTGTATCCCCAATTCTTCGCGTTTCCCACAATCAAATCAAGTGTACGAGACGTGGGTAAAGCAGGCCGAATTCCCATAATCAAACTACGCACTGTACGAGAAATCATCACCAGTTGTTCTTCTTCAGTCTGTCCAGAAACTCTACTCAGATGATGCAAAACTTTCAGGAGAGAATGCAGCTGTCTAATCAAAATTCCTAACTGCTTATCAGCTGGTTGATAAGGATGACGTTGAAATTGTTCACGAGGAGGGAACAATTGTTTATCCCCTCTATAAGGTCTCAGCTGTTGTCCCTGAGCCCCCCGTGCACTAAAAGCTGCATAATATCTCGGTGAATACGCTCGTCTCGTCTCTCTCTGAGTCGGTTCCCACGCTCGCCGACCACTAGGAACACGCGGCGAAAAAGAGCGCTTCCTCTCACTCTCTCTCTCTGAGAAAGTTCCCACGCTCGCAGATCTGTGGCCGGTTCCCACCGATACCTAGGGGCCGAGGGTTCTACCAAAGGCCGAGAGGCAGGCCTCTCCCGGACTCCCCTAGAGGGCATGTCAGAAGGCGGGGGGACACGCACCCCCACGCCCCCGCGAACAACAGAGGCGTAGGTCCTGGGCAATGGCCTGGAGACCCAGGGACCGCCACCACTTGGAAGCTCTGGCGGGTCAGGAATATTTTTATATTCCCGTCCCCAGCCGGGAACGGGCGGAGCACGGGCTCTCTCACGGGCAACAGCCCTCCGACCCCCACTACTGAGACGGCGCGGACCCAGCCCACGGGCCCGGCGCCCAGACCGTCGACTGGACAGCCGTCCAACCAGACTCCATATAAATTTTATATTTTCAATATTTTTTTTGTCTTTTGTTTGATTTTTAAAAATTTTTTTGTTGTTTTTTTATTTTTTAGAAAAAATAAAAATTAAAAAACAAAAACAAAAACTAAAAAATGGTGCCTCCAGGAAAACGTTTCAGGCTGTAGTCAGCCCTTCCTCAGCTCCGAGGCACAGCAACAAAAGAAAAGGGGAGACGTGTTGCTCCACCAAGCGTCAGCCAAATAATGAGGAGCAGAGCCTGTGCGCGCAGGACAAGGGAGCAGAAAGGGAGGGGCCGAGCGGGCATGCCTCAACAACTCACCCGTCCCTGCCCTCTGTTTTTATTATTTTTTAATTATTTTTATTATTATTGTTTCTTTTTTATAAAATAAACCCTGTAAAACCTATAACTATATACAAAATATAAAATATAAAATATACAAAATAGGGAAAGGTGGCTTGGCGGGAGGCAGTTCAGTCCAGGTCAGCCCAGGTCAGGGTTAGGGTTAGGGTTAGTAACATCGTCATAAACCCATCCCCAGCCGGGAACGGGTGGAGCACGGGCTCTCGCACGGGTGGCGGCCCTCCGACCCCCACTGCTAAAACAGCGCGGACCCAGCCCACGGGCCCGGCGTCCAGACTGTCTGGACTGGACAGACGTCCAACCAGACTCCATTTTTGTTAATTTTCTATATTTTTTTGGTCTTTTGTTTTTTTATATTTTTTTGTTCTTTTTTTGCTTTTTTTTTAAGAAAAACAAATAAATAATAAAATCAAAAAAACTAAAAATGGTGCCTCAGGACTTTTTTTTAAATTTTATTTATTTATTTTTTTTACACTATAAAAACAAAAGCTGATTTAGTTTATTTTTTTACAGTTTAGTCCAGTTTAAGGGGTTGTTGTTCATCAAATACTCCGCCAGGAAGTGGACAGGGTCTTGTGGCTGAGCGGAGCAGCAGGCCAGCAGGCCCTGGGACAGAGTGGGCATCACATGCTCCATCAGGTAACTCCTCATCTGTGCTGTCTCAGCCTCCAGAAGATCCTCCTCCTCACGACGCAACTGCTCCACAGACCTGGACCATTCCTCCCAGCGGGCAGCTCTCTCTCTGGCCTCCTCTGCCTCTCTCTTCTCCTCTTCTTCTTTCCTCTGTGCCTCACTCCTCTGTTTCTCCTCCATCTTTTTCCACTCCTCCTCCTCCATCTCTTCGATGGTGGGGCTGTAATTTCGAGATGGACCTACAGTTTCAATGATCTTCTCCAACAGATGCAAACAGCTGGGTTCATCCTTGCTTGTGATTTCCAAGTTCAAAGTGGTGATGTTAAACTCGTCGTAGAAGTCGCTGACAGTGGAGTCTTCACTGTTCCTATGTCTGTATCGGCTCAGTCTCTTCAGGAAGAGCTCCGGTTCATAGCTGTTCTTCTCCACCTCCGTCTCTGGCAGGTTTATAACTCGTTCTTTCAAAAACAAATCGGAGGCATCGAGGACAAACACAAACTCTGGCAGTATCTTGTTGGAGACTGTTTCATCCTCTTCTTCCTCATCATTTTCATAGAGTTCTTTCACTTGGTCATAAGTTTTGGGGAATCCATCCAAAACAAAGCCTTGGTTCTGGCAGGGTTTGGTCATCAGTTTGTCCCTCATCACTTTCAGCAGCAGGTGCTCTTCCAAAAAACCTTCATTCTGCTCCATACTTTCAGTGAGACTGTTGAGCAGCTCCTGGGCGTCTGCTGTGCTGTTCGTCTCCACTGAAGGATCTTTATTCACTGTTTCTTTCAGTTTATCAAGGGTCTGTGTAATGGTTGGCTTCAGTTTGACATGATGAAGTTTGTAGTGATTGCAGATAATTTTAGACAGAGTGCTCTTCCCAACAGCAGGGGGCCCCATAACACAAATGCGGATGGGCTGTAGTCCTCTGTATTGTCTGTATTCTTGAACTACTTGACCAATGTTTTCCACCAGTCCTTTCTCACACTGCCAAGAAATAGACAGCAGCTCTTTCAAATGGGCCGACTCCATTCTCAAATTCACCGTCATGTAGTCAATTTCCATGACAGTGATTTCTCGTATAAGGTAGGCCTCCTCGAGTGGTATTTTCTTGATAATTCCTGGTCCAAGTTCATTAGAAATTGCCTGTACAATCTCCTCCATAGTGTGACTGGAATAGTCGACAGCCAAAAGGTAGTATGGGCTTGGGCGGTGTTCAATCACATTCTGTATAACACTTGCTAGGTCATTGATGTGGATTGTGGGAACGATGTTGGTGCCATCTCCAAAAACAGGAACTTCAGCTTTCAGTCCCTCCCATGATGTCTTGAAAAAGTAATGAAAGATCTGCTCTCCCATTCCATACTGCATTCCCGACACCACCACATAAGTAGAGAACATGTGTTTATTTGTTTTTCCCAATTGAACCACTCTCTTCTCCAGATCATTGTGAGCTCTGAAGTTTGCATGTGGTCTTCGCCGACGGAAATCTTCATCAGTGAAAGGCTTCTCCTCATCCTCTGGATCAATGGGTTTTCTGCAGGCCCAGGTCATGACTGTGGACACAAGGATGAACATCTTTGGCCCAGTGAAATTGTCCAACTCATTGTGAAGGGTTGCAACAGCCCAGAAAGCCTCGTCCACTTGGTCCTGGTGTTGAGTAATGTTATAAACAATTACATTACAGTCTAGAAGTTTGGGTAGAAGCTCCTCCCTTTTCAGCTGATAGTACTGCTCCAACACATAATCTCTGTTCTCCTGTGGTTCTTCAGAGACAGTTCCCACTATCTCAAAGGCTTTTTCTTTATTAATATTGGTGTCCACTGACTCCTCCTCCTCTTCATCCTCACTATGAGCTCCAACAACGCATTCAGACAGAAACTTTGATATATATTTAGATGAGTAGGAGTCGATGTTGTTGATGAAAACCCGTTTTAGTGACGACTTTCTTTCTTCCATAATCTATTTATTACGTTAGTTTATTCCTGGTTTAGCGGCTGTTAGTAACTTAGCGTCCCGTTGTTATGGTGACAGGGGAGGGAACTGTTGCTATGGTGCCAATGATGTTCATTTTGTCTTCTTATATACTTTAACTTCTTAGGTTCTTTTTAAAGACAATGCAGTAAAGTAAACACACTTTACTGCATTGTCTTTAAAAAGAACCTAAGAAGTCAATGTCGCTATGGTGATTGCAGCTGGTCTCGGCGTGTCGCTCATATGTGAATTTGTGTCCAATTTTAATTTAGTTTAATAATTTTACATGAATCTGCGAATGAAGAATGAGACTACTTTTACCAACTTAAAAAAAAAGACAAGTTGAGGAGTTTATATATGAGAAAATACTTGGTATAATATGAAGTGCTTTTTTAATGACATTATTCATTTATGAACACAGGCATAATCATACACATTTTCTTTAATAAAAATCAATACAGAATATTTACAAATATTAAGAACAAAAATGATAGTGCATTAGGCAATTGCAAAAATAATTTATTACAACAAAATTCAAATTTATACAATCAAATAAAAATCTAATCAACATCAAAATATGAATCAAGTCAAGTATCATTCTCAAACATAGTGTCAGTCACTTAAAAAGGCACAGGCAGTTTGTGCTGTTGCTCTGCTTCCACTGCAAAGTTATCAAACTGAGCCAGTTCATAGGAGCTTGTCCCAATGGCCGCCCAGCCATTTTTAGGAGTGAGTACCACAGCATTCTTCCACAGGGTGTATCCATTCAGCAATCCATATGCAAACTGACCCTTTAGAAAAACAATATATATAATAATTAAACATGAACTAAATGCCTGAGGGAAATTTACAGTAGATACATTTAGATGGTCAATAAAAATCATAATAATAACAGTAATTAGAATAAAGAGATAACGTAATAATTATATCTGATTCTAGGACTGTGTTTACATGCACAAAAGAATTCTGATCATTAAAAACTGATGTGCCAGTTTATCAATGGATATCTTTATAACCCCGTCCCCAGCCGGGAACGGGCGGAGCACGGGCTCTCGCACGGGTGGCGGCCCTCCGACCCCCACTGCTAAAACGGTGCGGACCCAGCCCACGGGCCCGGCGTCCAGACTGTCTGGACTGGACAGCCGTCCAACCAGACTCCATTTTTGTTAATTTTCTATATTTTTTTGGTCTTTTGTTTTTTTATATTTTTTTGTTCTTTTTTTGCTTTTTTTTAAGAAAAACAAATAAATAATAAAATCCTCTGTGCCTCACTCCTCTGTTTCTCCTCCATCTTTTTCCACTCCTCCTCCTCCATCTCTTCGATGGTGGGGCTGTAATTTCGAGATGGACCTACAGTTTCAATGATCTTCTCCAACAGATGCAAACAGCTGGGTTCATTCTTGCTTGTGATTTCCAAGTTCAAAGTGGGTTAGGGTTAGTATCATGGTTATAGACCCGTCCCCAGCCGGGAACGGGCGGAGCACGGGCTCTCTCACGGGCGACGGCCCTCCAACCCCCACTGCCGAAACGGCGCGGACCCAGCCCACGGGCCCGGCGTCCAGACCGGAAGCTCTGTTTTTTCTCCTCTTTCTTTCCTTTTCTTAAAAAAAAAGACGTTTCGGGCTGCAGTCAGCCCTTCTTCGGATCTGAGGCACAAAAAGAAAAAGCTTGGAGATGTGTTGCTCTACCAAGCGTCAGTGAAATAATGAGGAGCAGAGCCTGTGTGTGCAGAACAAGGGAGCAGGAAGGGAGGGGCCGAGCGGGCATGCCCTAACATCTCACCTGTCCCTGCCCCGTGTTGTTGTTAGTGTTCAATGTAAACACACAGGCTCTGCTCCCACACCCATGTATTAATTAAAATAATTTTTTATAGAAATAAAAATATTTTTTTTTTTATAGAAATAAAAATACATTTTTATAGAAATAAATTTTTATAGAAATAAAAATATCCCCAACTTAGGCTTAGCTAGTCAAAAACTATACCAATATATACAATATATACAAATATATACAAATAGGGAACGGTGGCTTGGCGGGAGGCAGTTCAATCGAGGTTAGGGTTAGGGTTAAAGTTAGGGTTAGGGTTAGGGTTAGGGTTAGGGTTAGGGTTAGGGTTAGGGTTAGGTTAGGGTTAGGGTTAGGGTTATGGTATACTCAACAAATGTATTCATGAAATAAGATTATGTGTAGAGATAGCACTTTTTCTGTCAGTTTAAAGTTTACCAGAAATACCTCAACTACACTGACAGCTGTCACATTGTTTATTCACTCTGGAGGATGAAGTCACGAATATAAAATAAAAACTAAAAGTCACAAGTCATGAGTGAGATTCATTTAACTCTTCCATGACCTCGTCGTCATCTTTCATGATCACTTTCTGTTCTGAGTGGTCTAGGATCACGCCCATCTCTCTCTGCAGGGCCTCCAGACTGGTTGGGTTGATGTAGTACCGCAGGTTTTGGGACGGCAACAGTTTTTGTAACTCTTCTAACCTGCGGTATCCCACTTGGTACTGGCCCTGCTGACAGTAGTGATCCACCAAGAAACCAAAAGCATCCCCCACTCTGACAGCTGGGTCTAAGTCCGGCTCTTCTAACAGGGCTTCACAAACACGCACAGCCTCTGCAGCGTTCTCCACATACAACCTGCGCACATGGACAAACTTCTTGATTAAAGTGATTTTGTGTTGCATGTTTGACAGTTTGACTTCCTGTTTCCCAGAAGTATCCTTCGCTTTTGAAAGGCACTTATAGGCCTCAGTCAGAGCATCAAGTGCTTTTTCATAGTTTTGGTAATCGTCTATTTCCACCTGTGCACAGGCTTCATAGAAGCCCGCTAACAGCTCTGGCGCTCTGCCTTTAGTGTAGAAACCAATGATAGTTTTGAGAATTTCCGGATCTGTGCGCCAGTCCAGAGACTGAAGATAGTTTGCGGCCAAAATAAAAAGGTCTTTTTGACGACAAACATTGGCAAAGAATACGATTTTCTCTGTGTCACCAGATTTGAGAAGAGCCCTCATAGCCTTTAGCTTATTCCCTGCTTGCGTGTACTTTTTGGTTGCTAGGTGGTAGTTGCCCTGTCGCATACAGCAGTCTGCTATCCTCTCCAGCAGCTCCTTCCTGGCCTCCTCAGACATGTCTTTTGACTCGGTCACAGTCATCTTCTCTGCTAGCTCCTCTGAGACGTCCAGGTTCTGGCTCACACACAGCTCCAGTGCCTCCTGATACTTCTTAGCTGCTACCAATAGCTCCACAGCCTTTTCATAATGGGCATGTGTAATAAAGAAGTCAGAGCAGCGTGCCAGCAGCGCGGGGTCTGAGCCCTCTTTCAGACCCTCTGCAATGAGCTGCAGAGCAGAGAACTGTTCTGTGGCAAAGGCCAGCTCCAGGGCTTTTGACACATAACCAGCCTTGTGGTAAAGAGCCACTGCTCGGTCCATATGTGTCCCTTTCTCCTCATAGTAACGGGCAGCCTCCATCATATCCTCTGGGTTACTGAGGAGAGCTAGGTTCATCAGCTGGTCGTCCAGACTGTTCTCCTTACAAAGCCGTATGGCATTGTTGTACGCCTGAGCTCGTGTGTAGAAGTGAACAGCCTGTTTGATATCGTCATGTCCCTCATAGTGCCGGGCCAGGTGGTAGGATGCTGCCCTATCCCCTGTGTCGTTGGCAATCTCAGACGCTTTCTGAATATTTCCCATGTAGCAGAAAACTCGAACAAGAGAGAGGTAATCCTGAGCCAACTCATAGTAGCGTAGTGCTGCATCCATGTCCGACTGGCTCTCAAGATACTGTGCCCACCATTTGTACACATTCTTGTCTCTCATTTTGTTCACATATATTTCTAGAGAGGATGTGTCGTCTTGAAGCATTCTTGGTACTTCAACCCTGTGGCTCTCGGATTTCTCAAAGAATGTGATGGCCTGTGCTTTCTTCCCTAAACTTTCCAGGTATTTTGCATAGTTGTAGTAGGTGGTACGCAGGTGGATGCGATCATGCGTTTCTGCTAGTTCCAGAGCTTTCAGCCAGTCTCCTGAGGCCTGGTAGAAGTTGTTGAGCAGGTCATATCGCTGACAGGACTTGTACAACTTCTCAGCGTCTTCCAACATGCCAAGCTGAATGGCTAACATTGCAACTTGTGCTTCAGCCTCTGGCTCGACCTCAGCCTCCTTCAAAGCTTTCGCTGCTCTGGGATTTCCCATATTCCCGAGGCAAACCCGTGCCACATCCAAGCGCCGGGTTTTTACACACATCCGCGCCATGTTTTCCCATACTGCTGCACTTTTAATTAGTTTGATAGACTTAAAGGCTTCATCCATATCCCCAATGGTCAAGTAAAAGCTGAAATTTAACATAGCGTCTCGGGTAGTTTTCTCACAGTTCTCCAGCCCCACAAAGTCTCGAAGTGCTCGTCTTGACACCATCTTTGGAGCAATGGGACTTTTGGGAGACAGGTGAAGGTGTGGAGATATGGCTTCAGATTGGCATGATGGATCCCTCTCCCCAGGCTTGCAGATGAAGTAATAATACGGCACATCCATTGCAAGGAGAGACTGCAGAACCGCTGGTTTGAGGTAGCAGTCGTGTAATAGAAGGCCATGTTCCTGAGTGCAGAACAGTGTCACCACGGAAACATCAGCCCCATCGACAGGAACAGGTGATGAACTCTCAGAGCTGACCGGCACAGTCTCACAAACGAAAAGACGAGGCTCACTTTCATCCCAGAAATGAGAAATGGGACAGCGGCCACTGAGCTCTGTCCCTTCTAACTGATGCCTGTCACCATCTTCAGATGGTGTGATACCACTTGAGGGTCTTCCACTAAAGAAGTCAAAGTGTGTAATGGTGTCCATCTCAACATCGTAAAAGTAGACTTTGTGGTCTGGCTTTCCGTTTTCCCGTGTAATAAGGATGCTGACTTGGCTGCCATTTGCGTTACACTTAACTGAACTCAAGTCTCCCAGATTGGGAATAAACTCAGCCAGGTTCTTGGCACTTGAATGAGCTCTGGCATCTCTCCGGGAGAGATCAAACACTCTTATGTGAGCAGTGTCTGTGCCAACTATTAGATATGACTGGCACACACTGAGCAGTACTGGGTTTCCTTCGGTTTTTGAAAATGTTAGTAATTGCTTCACCGTGCCCTGGGGTGTACGGATCTGGACTCTACTGGGTTCTACAGTGTATAGATTCTCTCCATGTACGGCTACTACATGGGAGTCACAAGTAAATGACCCAGAAGTGCGTAAGGCTGTTTCTGAAATGTCATAAACAGTAATCTGCTTGCCACTCCAGACTATCAATGACTCCTTTGTACCACAGACACCCTTGATATGTGAGTCTGACTGCAGAGCCAAGTGCATCTCTCTGGATTGAACCGAGAGACACTGAGCTGAGTCGGTGAAACCTGAACGGCTGCCACCTGCTGGTTGAAGTGGGCTGACAGAACATGTTCAGACAGGGTCAGGGCAGTGTAGGAATTGTTAGCAGCTAAAAGATTTAAGTTGGGATTCCACTCTAGTTGTGTGACATTGCCTTGTATTTCAGTAGGAGCTTGTAACTTCCACTGGATTTTAGTGTCTGACTTGGTGCTGCCTGACTGAAACACCATTTTCCACATTGCTATGCGACCACAGCTGGTACCTGCAGCCAGTATTTCTTTCCCTGAACAATAAGTGACACAGTTGACAAACTGTGTCCCGCAAAAAGTTTAATTCAGCTTCCACGGCTTTTTAAAAATTAACTCCGTATCTCCGTATCGTAGCTTTACAAAAGGTATATGGTGCCGCTCTGACTGTCAGCTGTGGTTACCAAACATAAGCTCACAAAACTAGCTTTAAGCTAGCTGATAAAGCTAATCAATTAGAGATTATATTATGGAAAATATACTAAATTGGGTTAGTCAAATAAAGTGTTTACATCAGCCGTAAATGTATTTAAAACTATGGCTTTTAACCCTTCCAGACCGACGGTATCGTATACGATACCGGCGGGCATGTTTTACATAACTGCGCATAACTTTTTAACCATAAAAGATAGAGACTTAATTTTTTTTTCCTTGTAAAGATAAGACCCGTGGCTTTACGAGCATCTTTCCGGTATCATCCTACGTTACACGCACGCTGCGTGGTGACGTAGTGAAAACAGGTGTCCAATAGGAACTTCGCTCTTCGGCACGTGACGCACTCCATCCATTTTCATTGGCCCAAACTTTGCCAAAGATTGTTGTAAGTCAAGATAGTTACTCCTCTGAGCGTCTGTGCTCATAGCATTTGATAAAGCAGACCTAAGTACCGTTATTTCTCAAGTAAATGGCAAATTACGCATCTCGTGTGCGTAATTGCGCATCCCTTACTATTTTTATTTGAAAAGTTTTTTTTTACTTGCAAATGACACATAATACACCCAACAGGACGTAAACAGCCTAGTGCCGAGCAATGAATCGGGTGCGCGCGGGTGTGAGCAGGTGCGCGCAGATGCGCGCTTGGCGTACACACATTCGTGTGCCAAGGCATTTGTTGTTTTGCGCACAGAGGATAAAGAGCTCCGGGAAGTCTCTCAGAAGAAAGAAAGAAAGAAAGAAAGAAAGAAAGAAAGAAAAAGAAAGAAAGAACGAACGAACAGAAATGGCACGCAAAGCGTCACTTTCCTTGCTGGAAGCAGTGGCGATGGTAACGGAGCCTGGCAGTGACGCCGAGTCCGATGTGGACACTTTTTATACAGATGAAGAGTTGGATTACCTGGAGGATCTGGACCCTATTGAAGAGTAAGTAGCAAATATTTCATAGTTATTTAGAGCAAACATCATGCAACACTTGTAGTAAACGGGCGTAAATACATAATAGTAGCATGCGTAATGCCTATTTATGCATTGTTTGGATACAGTTTTATTTGATGCGTGAGGGGTATAATCATTTAGGTGGGGGATGAGATTGTGAACTTCAGACAACTGTTTACCTGTGTTGCACTAGACTTATGACATGTATGTTGTTGTTTATAATAACGAGCTACAAACTACATGTGTAAAGTGGATGAAGTGGTTTGGGATGTGTGGATGTCCTAATTAGTGAGGTCATAATCTGTTGACACCATTTGGGTGGGGGATGGGGTTGTGCATTGTGTTTGCCCCTGCTGCACTAGACTTAGACTTGTTGTAGTCCATATGTAATACACACGTTTTACACAAACTAACATTTTTTCCTCTTCTTTTGTTTAGTGCTGAGTCAGAGGATGTTTCTCAGGCTCCTCCAGATTCCCCTGTGCCATTCACTTCAGGTGTCTCCCCAGCTTCATCAGTGTCTACAACCCCAGCCACCCGTCCAGAACCATCAACACCTTCAACACCTACGATCTCCTCTGAGAGCAGGAGGAGGGGCAGGGAT